CGGATTCACACTACTACCATAGATACTTCCTCCCTATCTCCCAACAATGATAATCTCGTAGAATATCTCACCGCAGCCTGCCGACAACTTCCTAACGACGAGGCACAACGAGGCGGGTATTGTGGAACCGTTGACCAAACCCGGGGAGTCTGGCACTCGAGGCAGCTCAAACACCGAACCTGCCACCGTGCTGACTCTCAGCGGAAGTCACGGCCCCACGGAGTTCACTTCGTAAAAAAAAAAAAAAAATAGGCCCCCGGCCCATGTTCAAGGAATTGTGCGTCACGCACCCACGGGTTACATGCCGTAGGCATCATTATCAACACATGTTTACCACAACGTACAAACATATTTTACAAATCCAGAGATTATCATATGATAATCAGTGTTGTTATACGTGAGCAATTATTGTGCTTTGCACTAACTGGATAGCGCCTCTACATGTAATTCAACGACAATCACTTCTGTTAATCATAAGTTGAACAATAATTCAGGATTAAAAATAGGTAATCTTCATCTGGGCATGTAGTCAACAAACAATAGAAGCAACACTAAGCTCACTGTGGACTACGTAGTACTACACATTGTGTAATGAATGTTGGCGCTTTCTCCTTAACAAACAGATGCAAAGAGTCTTTGTACCTAGCTATATACATATGTGCCAGTAATACAAGGTCAAGCCGCAGAGCACTGGATAGTCATACTTAGTAGCTATTGTATCATGAAACTCGATGCTAGCACAATAGTCTCAATAGAATTCGTGTTTTTTGTAGCAATAATTCACTATAAAAATAAACTCAAATGCTTTTGCTAATTTAAGTAACTCTGTAAACAAATAACGTGAGTGCTATGGGACTATTGCGCTGGCATTTATCTACATATTGTGCCGGACGTTGGTTTGTCCATTGTGCTACAGCCATTCAGCGAAAGTAGCCACAACACAAGCGAATCTTCGAGTAGATGGCTATTCAGCACTAGCTAGAAGAGTAAGGAAGGTAAATCAACGTTGATTTAATCTTTAACATATGATAAAACAAGTTACAGCTTCGTTTAGCCACATTGCCAATTTGATATTGTGTCCAAAGCACGAAACATGTATTTCCATAACGCACCATGTTTTCGAATAGTTCACAGTCGCAAAAAGTGAGATTTTCGCGAATCATGGATGAATAACTGGATATCAGTGATATGCACGGTACAACATTATATGGAGCGAACAATCGCGTTATCGCAATAAAAGCGCATAATTAGTTTAAGCCGCGTTTTTTTTAGTCTAAATGTATCAGTTTGAGTGCAACTGACTCGTAGCTGTAATACCGTATAACTCCTGTCCTAAGCGAACGCGTTTCCTAAGCGAACTATTTTATAACCAATGGTATAAGCATATTTATAGCATATGTTAGCCAGTAAAGTTGGGGTAAGTACCAACTAAAATTGGATCAGCTGCTGGTTGAGGCTGGACACTTACTTTAGAATTTTACAGCACAGCGATGCCGCGGCCTCGTACCACCGGGACGGGAAGGAAGAAGAAAACGTATAACCGTATTGCGGTCGACTACAGCCATAAGCTTCAAATTCTCGAGCGGCTTGAGGACGGAGACACAGTAGGCGAGGTTATCAGCGCGTTCTACCCCAACATCAACAAAGCAGAAAAAAAGAAAAAAAAAACAGAAGCAGATATCGAAATGGAAAAGCAAGCTAACTTTATTAAGTCTGTGTGTGAAGAAGGCAAAGGGCGCTTAGAGAACTACCGTAGGCGCGGTGATGCGACAGTTCTCCCAGCTCAGGCGGAGAGCAACATCGTACTTTGGCTTAACACGATGAGGAAGGAAGGCTGCCCGGTATCAGCTAAAATGCTGGAGCTCAAGACCCTTGAAGTTGCCGCAGACACTGGTATTTCTAGCGAAAGCTTCAGCGTTTCGTATTCATGGAGGCGACGCTTTATGCGTAGGCACAAGCTTTTTGTACGTGCGCGGACGCGACAGGGTCAAACCACTCCTGAGGATGCTGTAGTAGCGAGGACCAAATTTCGTGGAGAAGTTCGGGCGGCTATCGTTGAGCACAACATCATACAGGTCTTTAACGCGGACCAGACAGGTATGCGTTATATAGATTACAGTTCACTAAAGCTCTCTAATGCTGTACGGAAGCTGTGTTCTTTGAATACCTACCTCGCAAGACTATCACCACGCGAGGTGAGAAGACTGTATGGGTGAAGTGCAGCGGCAAGATAAGGAGCAAGCAACAACAATGCTTTTGGCAGATTGGCACGGCAACAAGCGGGCTCCCTTCCTGGTGCTCAAGGCCGGTGTTTCCCGTCATCGACATGTACAAGAAGAAAACGATTCTAAACGGCATGGCTTTGGCGTCCGCTTGTGAAAAGAGATTGCTCCTCTTCAAACGAAGCATCACTGCCAAATCTATGGGAACCCTACTGCCTGGTGGAATACCGACATCTCGGTTAAGTTCTTGGACTACCACTTTGCCACCGAGACAACATGCATGAGAAGATCCTCTTTCTGTGGGATGACTTCTCGGGACATTGGACCGAAGAGGTCACTCAGTACGCTGTGTCAATCAACGTTGTCCGTCTTAAAGTCCCACCACGCTATACATATGTATGTCAGCCCACCGACGTGGCTTGGAATCAGCCATTCAAGTAGCACTTGCGAAGGCAATGGGTCGAGTGTCTTCGTGGTCAGATCTCGGACCACTATGCAAAAGAAAAGTAGCGCAAGGACAAAACACTCGAGATAGCAAAGGAAATAGCAACGGTGGCACGAACGGATATTCAGGGTGTGGCAAAAGACAAGGTCATACAATTACAAGAGAAGCTCCCACGAATGGCGTTTGAAATGGTGGCTCCGAAACGCCACGAGATCACTGCGTGGATTGCAGAATCGTGGTCAGAGCTCAGTGTTGATACTATCGTGAGTGGATTTGCTAAAACGAGCTGCTCACAGATACACGCAGCCCTGTTGTCGCTAAAGATCACGACAAACCCCTAGATATCAGTGATGTACTCAATCAACTCGCCGATCTCGGCGTAGCAGACGAGACAGTTGGCTCCGGTGACGAACATGTCAGTAGTGACAGCTCTGATAACGAATAATTTTAATACACTTGACATAAGTTCTGCCCTTTTCGAAGGTAACCAAGTGAGTTTGGACACGTAGCTCAGTGATTTAGAGCACCGCCATTCATGCGGATGGACACGGGTATGAATCCCGTCGTGTCCTTATTTTTTTGATTGGGTGAAATTGAGTGTAGCAAATTTTTAATTTGTAACGATTAAGTGTTAATTATTAGGTTACTTATGACATATGCCACAATCTTGTGCACATTGAGGTTCGCTTAGGACAGGAGTTATACGGTACTCAGATTCACAATAATATCATTTTTATCGAACATATATTGAATTATATATAAAACTTACATTTCGAACAGCCTGGTATGAACGCCACTTTCACTCCACTGAACACTGCAGACACTGGTTCATACTTCATCCAATACCTACAAATGCTTAAGTGGCTAGTAGGGAAGAGAATATAGGCTGATAGTGTGGCGAGGGTGGAAGTAGGCAGGCTTATTAAGAAGATTGTCGACATAACCTCAAAGTCAGGACTTTCACTGGAATTGGGTATCGATAACCAATTCCGGTGAAAGTCCTGACTTGGAGATTTATGTTTTCGTGGATCGTACTTACAGTGCACGATACCAAATTACGAAGCAAACGAATAGCACCATTAAAGGCAGCTCTCAAAATGGGTTCGATGAAGTTCTCATTCGATGAATAGCGCATAGTTAGTGTTTAAGTTGGCCATCTGAGCTACTTTCGCTGTCAGTGCCGGAATCATCACTATATTCCTCGTCCTGCTCTATCCGATATACCTGTTTAAACAGCGTCTCTAGGTTCTTGTCAGCTTTGCGGATGCAGCCTGCAACGACTGCAGATCTAAAGACTCCGAAAACTGTCACTAAACGGTCGCGCACCTGCTGAAACGTAGTCTCTGCTGTATATTGTCGTCCAACTTCACCCTTCACAGCAGCCCACACAGTCTCAATCGGTTGCAAGTTTGAATGATGTGGTGGTGTGAACAGGACAGCAGGCTTTTCCTTCTCTGCCATGGCCACGACAACGGGTTTCACGTTCTGCTGCACGTATGGTTTAAACTGTGCCCACAGTACTGCCTTCAACTAGGTATGATTGTACGAAAGCCCATACTCTTTACGCTTCGCTTGCATCTCATTCTTTCACGTCTTACCTGTAGGCGTACCCTTCGGCAGACGCTTGTGGT